GCTAGGTGTGGGTGAATTATGTATTACACTATATAACCTTTCTGGATAACGAACACCTTCCCCTTTAAGCACTAGAATATTGTTCCTAACTCATTTCTACCATGAGACATAAATCCTCTCAATAAGTTTAGTGTAATATTTCCCCCTTCATATCAAAAGTTGTTTTTTAATGATGTAAGTAGGATAGAGTCCCTTACAAAGGCATGCCTTCCTTCTTCACACTGTATCTGGTACTAACTGATGCTGTGGGTTTTATTTTCTGATAGGTTATCAGAATGGATTATCTTTTTGGGAGGGAATTGCAGAGGGTTCAGGTAGGAGTAGGGAGGGAAAAGTTCTTCCCCAGAGTCTTTAGGGAAAAATCCCACACCCCTCTTAGTATACAAATGCTTCGTGAACCTTCCATTGGCAGAGCTACTTGTAGGTCTCTCAGCGCCTTTTCCTCCCTCAGTCCTCTGTTTCTGTGCACATGGTCTTCTGTCAGCTTTGAGAGCCTTGCTGCTCTTGTCTCCCTAACTAAGTGCTGCTTATCCTTCAAAATCAAACCTGAGGCTCAGTTCCTTTAAGTGAGTCCAGTAACCACAAGGGTCCTTGAAAGATGGAAGGAGGGGTGCAGAAATCAGTGTCAGTGTGCTGCACTCTGACATCACACAGGGAGAAAGACGCCACTGGCCTTTGCCAACCTTGAACATGAAAGGGAGCCAGGAGCAGATGATTGTGGGCAGTTGCCAGAAACTCAAAAACCCTAGTGTAGGAATTCTGACCTCCAGAACTTTAAGATAATCCACCTAGGCAGCCACTAATATACCTTCTGTCTCTATACATTTACCTTTTCTGGACATTTCATATAAATGGAATCAAATAATATATGTTCTTTTATGTATGACTTTTTTTTATTGAGCATTATATACTTATTTGTGTTGTTTTAAGCCATCAAGTTTGTGGTAATTTGTTATAGGAGCCACTGGAAACAATACAACCACAGACTTTTTAAATATAAATTTTAAATTTCTTTTGTGCTCACTTCGGCAGCACATATACTAAAAATTTTAAGTTCTTTGAAGTTTAGGAGTTGCTAAATTAGTGCAGACAATCCTCAAGTATATAATTACCCACCTTCCCCCAATAATAATATCTTATATAAACATCGTGCATTTTAACAACCAGGAAATTGATATTGGCACAATACTAGTAATTCTGGAAAGGAGCAACACTTCTCTGAGTAGAGCTTTCAAAATTGAAGTCAGTCCTGTCAGAACCTGTCACTGCTTTATCAACTGAGTTTATGTACTGTTCTAAATCCTTTGTTGTCATTTCAACCATCTCCACAGCATCTTCAATTCTGTACTGTACATAGTTGTATGGGCTGTACTTTTACATGACTGTCAGTGCAGTAGGTTTGTTCATACTAGCATCACTACAAACACACAAGTAATGCATTGCACTAGGCATTACAGTGGCTTCAACATCTCTAGGCCATAGGAGGTTTTCAGCTCCATTCTAATCTTATGGGACACATGACTATACAAATGTAAGATTAGACTTAAAATATTGCAAAATTGTTAAATTTTCTGGATATGATAACTATAGTGTGGTTATGTAAGATATTATCTTTATTCTTAACAAAAACACCCTAAAGTATTTAGGGGTAAATGTTACAATGTATACACTTAAGTGGCTCAGAAAAAACATGCGTGTGGATGGAGTGTGTGTGTAGGTCAGAGAGTTCACACCAGCACATAGATGCAAATGTTAAAGCAAATGGAGCAACATTTTAATAATAGGTGAATCATGGTAAAGGCCAGATGGGTGCTTTGTATATTATTTTTATTCTTGCACTTTTTATATAAGTTTTAAATTATATCCAAAGAAATATTTTTTAAAACCCATGTATCCCTAATCTCTTTTAATAAATATAGCATCACAGATATACTTGAAACTTCCTGCATATGCCTACTCTTCCAAAAGGTAAACACATCCTGGATGTGGAGTTTATTAGCCCCAGATGTATCCTCATATGTTGACTATATGTTTACATGTACCTAGACAATAATATATAATAGTGTTTTGTATGGTGTTAAATAATACATAAATGTCATTCTATATAGTCATTTTACACCTTACTTTCCTCACTCAATGTTATGCTTAGGAGGCTTATTCATGTTGATATATCGGTTGCTAACTCTTTTTTTCACTGCTGTAGTTATCCCAAAAGTCTTAGTGACATTTTAAACTATATTAAATTCACAAATATAAATGCTATGAACTTACCCAAAAAGTTTATACCACTTGAAAGTTGTATTTAAATTTCTTTAATAATCACTGAGTTTTAAAATTTTGAATAATAAATTTCTAGTTTTAAGTTTTTTGTTTTAGTCAGCATTTGCCATCTTCAATCAAAGGAAGTATAAATTTTATAGCATGATTTTGGCACAATTCATTCGTTTTCACATTTATAATGTATCTACTTTTTTATTATTTCAAATACTGTTACAGTGTACCTTTTTATACTTCTTAGGTACTTGTGAAAGACTTTCAGTAAATAGTAACTAGAATTACTGTAATAACTAGGTCATAGGGTATGTGCATTTTAATTTTACTTATATTCTTCACAGCAATATGTATATAGTTCCTTTTCCTTACCCAGTCTAAGTGGAAACTTAGAATTATCAGGCTTCAATTTGAGCTGTTGTTACAGGTTTAAAGCTGTTATCTCATGAATTTATTGGGTTGAATTTTTCTAATTACTAGAGGTATTGGAGCATCTTTTCGTGTGTTTATCAGCCATTTTAGTTTCCTCTTCTGTAAAGTGTAAATTAATATTACAATTCACAGATGAACAACATGAGAGTTAGGGGTACCACCCCCCCAAGCAGTTGAAAATCCATGTATAACTTTTGACTCCTCCCAAACTTAATTACTAATAGTCTACTGTTGACCGGAAGCATTACTGATAACATGAACAGTTGATGAACACATATTTTGTATATTATATGTATTATATACTGTAGTCCTAAAGTAAGCTAGAGAAAAGAAAATGTTATTAAGAAAGTCATAAGGAAGAGAAAATACATTTGCAGTACTTATTGAAAAAATCGGAATGTCAATGGACCCACACAGTACAAACCAGTGTTGTTCAAGGGTCAACTATATTCTTTTATGTTGACTTTTTTCCCTATTGCTTTTAGCGGGGATTTTAAAAAGTCATATTTTTGACACTTATCCTTTTACATTTGTATAATTTCTAGGTAATTTCAGTCTGAAACTTGTCTTCATTTTTTAAATGTCGTTTTGACAAATTTTTTATTTAAAATGATCTATCAGTCCTTTCATTTATTTTTTACATATTTTATACTTTCCTTATCTAAGTTATAAAGATATTCTCTGACATCTTTTAATGAAAGTTTTAACACCTTTTAATGGGACTCACATCATCATTCAGAGAGGCTGTGAGTTCAGTGAAACATTCTTGAGTGTCTACTGTATAGCAGGTGTTGTTCCTGGCAGGAGGGGTATATCAGTGTAGAAGGCCCAGTGCTGTCTTTGAGGAACTCACATTTTAATGAAGGGGACATCAGTCAGGAAAAAAATGAGCAAAAGTATAGAGCTGTCAAACTGAAAGAAGTATTTTGAGAGCTAGATTAGTTCACTATGATCACACAGGTGTGGGAGGTGGTGACGGGATTAGAAAGATGGGAGTAGCACCATGAAGGCATTTTGCCATGGAGCTCAGACTTCACCTTGTGGTTTAGGTGTTTTCAAACATTTTTAGCATCAGAACCCTAACTTCAAAGGAAGTTAATGGTGACAACTACAATAATTATAATAACATAATATCATCTAATATGTCTTGATTATTTACTGTGGTACTGTGCTGAGAACTCCAGGCATTATCCTGTTACTCTTTCATTGCAACCTTATAGGGTAGGTTTTAATATTATCCTCATTTTACCAACTGAGTCTCAGAGAGATTAGTATATTAACCAAGTTGAAGTAAGCTTCTCTTACTAAATTAATTCTGCAGAACAGAATGCATTTGAAAATCACTACCCCAAAACATTGGAAAATATTGCAGGGTTTGAAGGATGAAAGTGATTTAATCAGATTTGTATTTTATGTCCATGATGCTAGAAACTGTCTGGAGGAAAGATTTGAAATTAATAAGGACTGGATTAGGGAAACCAGTTATGAAACTCTTACATTAGTCCAAATGAAAGAAGATTAAAAACCTGAACTACAAGTTCAGATGTATCATATGGGATAAATTAGAAATGAGAAAAGAGTAGTATCGCAAGTAATAATGGGCCAAGAAGAAATTTGCATGTGTCATGTTGGTTAAGGAAAATACAGGAAGTATTTACATTGAGAAAATTAATGGGGACACTTGATTTAGTGGGTGCATGTAATTAAGGTTGAAAAGATATTTAAAAAAAGATGATTTAGTAATAAAAGAGAAAATAAGAAACGTTGTACTTATTTAACTTCAATTTGATAAGTATTCATGCTGTATTTTCTAGAGTTGCCACTGAAAAACAATAATAAAGGAACAGAGCTTATAAATTTTTAAAATGTCAACTATATGCTATTTATAAGAAGTAGAAAAAGATTGAAATAAAATATGGGAAAAGATATGCCAGGAAAATTTCAACAGCAAAGCTAGTGTGGTTATATTAACATTAGACAAATGTACTTTAAAGAGGAAAAAAGTTATTAGAGCAGTGGCAGCATCTAAAATAGGAATCTTAAGTACAGGCCTTGGAGATTTAGTTGAAAAGAAGGTAACAGTGTGTTTCCAAACAACTGATTTGAAGAATAAAGACAGAGTTTGGGAAAACAAATATCCATAGGTTGTATGGAATTTATAGTTTAACCAAATATTTTTCCTCAAGAGATTTCAAAAACATTGGCTTTTTCATTCCATGTCATTCTAAGCCTGTGTTTGTTGGCAACACATATACAATTAAATGCATTTGGTAAGCGTTTGCTCTTGTGTTTTTCAGGAATTCAAAATGTCCTCAGCCTCTTTTGTGCAGTCCTCACAGAAAATAAGGTTCTCTTCCATTCCACAAGTTTCCAGAGACTTAGCGATGCTTGTAGAGCCCTGGAATCTTTAATGTTTCCTCTTAAATATAGGTGAGGTTTTTTTTCACTTGTACTTTTATTTATTCTCAAATTATGCATTAATTATTAATGACCCATCGAAATGTCATGGCACAATAGTTTGAACCACAAGGTCATATTTTACAAAGTCATGATTCTGATAGAAATCTAGCCTAGAATTTGGAACTTTTGCAAGCCATCCATTACTGAGTATTGATTAATTTAGTGATAAATTAATTAATTTGAGTAGTATTGTCAGTAGTATTTAATTCTCTTTGAATATGGTTGGCGATAACATTAAGTTAGTGCTCTGATTTTTTAATATTAAAGAATTATTCATTTTAGGGGTTATATTGGTTTTATGGTTCTATTAAAACAGAAGAGCCCTTATCTTTTATAGATACCCACTGAAGTATATGTCTGGAATTTGCTTCAAATAATACAGTAGGGAAGAGAACAAAAGTGGGTAGAAATATATATGTGATTATTCATTAGCAGTTGTCATTGCTGGAGTGGATTTGTGGGGCTTTATTTTCCCCTTTTTTCCCTTTTTTCTTTCTGTTATTTGAGGGGCACGTTAAAAATTTTCCATGATAAAAATTAAAAAACAAGACAATTTAAACAGTGATGCCTGATAGTGCTATAAGTAGACTATTTTATTCTAATATATTGTTTTATCAGTTTGGTATTCATAACATCTAAGAAACTTAAGTTCATACAAACTAGAAAAAAATTTAGAGTGTCTGCAGATTTTAGTTAAAAACTTAAATTTTTTACCTGTCTACTTTTCTTAACCCCTATATAAGTTTAGACCTTAATTTTTCTACTTTATCACTTGTTGAATGCAAAAACAAGTATAGAAAATTGGAATTTAAATGATTGTTTTATGTAGACAAATTACCAGTGTTGATGGGGAAGGCCCATCAGGGAGTCAGAGCTACTCTCTGATGTTTTATTTCTATGAAAGGTAAAATGCTTTCAAGCCAGATTAAAACACCCAAAGAGACTGCTTGCCCTGGATTCCACTTATTTAGATCTTATTATATCTGATCCTATCTTTCACATGAAGATTTTTTTTTAATCTGTTCTTTTGAAAATTAAGTATTAATAACCATAAAATAGTATCGATAATTCCTAAACAGAGGTAATCGAAAAATTAATAGCATAAAGTTGAAAGAAAAATATGTTTCTATTATGGAAAAACAAATATATCTCACATATATTTGTATTATTTTTAGTTATCCTTATATTCCCATTCTCCCGGCTCAGCTACTAGAAGTTCTAAGTTCCCCAACACCATTCATTATTGGAGTACATTCCATCTTTAAAACTGATGTCCATGAACTTGTAAGTATTCATCTTTAAATTGCCAGTTATTGAGGCCAGAGGTTTAGCTTATTACGTTGAGTTTTATAACATTTCAACTAATTACTATTTTAGCTCTATTGCATTTCCTATAGAAAAGATTGGCTGGAAGAAAAGCATCAATGAGAAGTCCAAATATATTAATTTTTCTATAGCAAATATGAGAGATTTACAAAATGAATTCATATTTTTAAATGCCCCCTCTTTTGGCATAGTAAGTTTATCTTTCTGTATTCTTCATCCTATCCATGGAAGATAAAGTAATCTATGTCGCACTCTATTTATACTTTTGTTATCAGTACTTTAATGTACTCATATTTTGAAATAAGGCCTGTGTTAATGCTGAATGGTTGATAACTAAAAGGCAAAAATTATTTGCAAAAGAATGAAGGATTTTAATGGAATGCACATTCAGTATGAGCCCCACCAAATTATTCTGTTTCTGCCCAGCGATGATAATGGGCTTCCTTATGTGAGGAGTGTATTCTCAAGCACTGTAAGTAGAGTGCAAGGAAAGATGGTATGACACTTTTCAGGGAGTTAAAGAATACTTCTTTCCCGAAAAGTTGGGCTATATGACATCTGTGATCCACAGATCTTTAAGATTTTGTATTTCTACTTTTGTTTTAGTTTTAAAATTCAGCAAAGAGGTTAGCTCTGTTGGAATTTATACATAATTACAATTGTAATCAAATTGTAGGTGTCGTTTAAACTGACAAAAGACTATTCAACATTGTAATTATAAAAAGTACCTCATTCATATATTAATCATTCTGCCTAACCTTATATGTTCATATCTAGTTCTTTTTTAACTTTGATATCACTGTATAAAAATGTGTGTAAATCAATAAACATTCAGTAAAACCTAGTTAGTACTGATTCGAAGCATACCCATCTGGTTTGTAGGTAATTTTTTTCTAGTAAATTTTTTTCTCTGGAGGTAGGGCAAACCAACTGTTGCCAAAAGTAAATTTTTTAATTTTTTGATGAATAAATTAGAATGAATTTTAATTCTGTCATTAATGTAATAACTTCAGCAATCTTGGCTAGTTTCTCTTACATTTTTATGTAAGTTATTTGTAAATAAACTGTTGTAAAATGCTAAGAATGTTATTTCCTTGAGCACCTAAACAGTACCATTTTGATGTATACTAATTGTTTTGCTTGTTAACTCATGTAATGATTACTGTGTTATTTGGGTTATGGCTACACTACTATAATAAAACATCCAAAATGCAATGGCCCAAACAAATGGAATTTTATTTAACACTCATGCAGCAATTCATAGAGGTATTCTGTTATGCCAGCCCAATTTACTCCAAGAAATCATCGAAAGTCCAAGCTTCTTCCCTCCTGTTTCTCCATCAGAATCCCCTCATGTACTGTCATCATCTGAGTGTTCAAGGTTGGGTTGCTGCCAGTTCATAGTTTTATCCATGAAAATGGGAAGGAGAGCCTTACAGCTCTTGTATGTTGAGTGCCTGGAAGTGTACACATTCCTCTTCACATTTCATTGGCAGAAATTTAGTCACATACCACACCTAATTTCTAAGGAAGCTGAGAAATATGGTAGTCCCTCCTTATCCCAGGAGAGACATGAAAAGACCTGCAGTAGATGCCTGAAACCACAGGTAGTCCTGAACTTTATATATACTATTTTTTTCCTTATACATACATAGCTTTCCACTTAAAGGAAGCACTTGACAGCTTTTCTTTGGCATATCTGAATTACTACTTTTGCACTTTGGGATCATTTTTAGGTAAGATAAGGGTAACGTGACAAGCACTGCAGTACTGCAACAGTTTAGATCAGCGATTTTCAACCTTTTTCATCTCGTGGTACATATAAATTAATTACTAAAATTATACAGCACAAGAAAAAATATATTTTTGCCATCTGACAAAAAATATATATAATTTTGATTCATTCACGCTGGACAGCTGTTGTTGTTGTGTTGGCTGTTGTAATTTTTTTATTTGACAGCTTACGGGAAAAGAGGTCTGTGCCCCTGACTAAGTAATCAGGTATTATATGTTTTAAAAATCCTTTTCGCCAGTATGCCTCTTGCGACACACCAGTTGAAGATCGCTGGTCTAGATGGCTACCAGGTGACAAATGGACAGGTAGCAAGACAGCGTGGATAACACTACACAAAGAGATGATTCACATCCCTGGCAGGACAGCCTAAGATTTCATCACACCGCTTATGATGGCATGCAATTTAAAACTTATGAATTGTTTATTTCTGGAATTTTCCATTCAATATTTTTGGACCAGTTGACTGAGGGTAACTGAGACCTCAGAAAGCAAAACCACGGATAAGGGGGCACTATTGTAGACAGTAGCTTGTAAGCCACGAACCAGCTTTGTATTACTATGGAGAATCAAGAGTCCTTCCACACCTGGTTCTTTTCATTTTGAATTAGTGAAGGTAAAGTTAATTTGTTCAACTAATGCATTTTATTAATTGTATTAATTTTTTTATTTCCTTCAGTTAGATGTAATCATAGCAGATTTGGATGGAGGCACTATTAAAATTCCTGAATGTATTCACCTCTCTTCCCTCCCAGAGCCACTTCTACATCAGACTCAAGCAGCTCTTTCTTTGGTATGCCATTTTTTAAATAGTAATGTTCTCTTGATTTATATCTAAACTAAGATAATTAGAATTAAATTTCATTAACAGTGTAATTACTTTTTTAAAAAGGTCTTAAAACGTGAATCTAGCCTCATACAGTATTTAGGAGTCTTTACTGAAGATTATCTAAAGAATATACTTTGCATCCTATCAGGCTATTTGTTGTACATTCATGCTCTCACTCAGCATATTTGCTTAGTACTGAGTACTGCCGTAGGTATTGGAAATACACCTGTGAAAACAAGACTAGACTCTGACTCACAATCCCTGACTCTCTGAAACCCCCCTTTGGAAGCCAGCACTTGTTACTTCTCCTTCAGCTTCCTATTGATGTCTCGTTCCTCTTTGGTAGATGTGCTACCTGCAAGATGGTGTGATGTTGTTGAGCCAGTGTTTTCAGGTTACTACAGGAAGATGTAACATAGATTAAATGTCCAACATTCTGCATAGTGAAGTTTTAAGAAGCCTTGTGGCCTGGATGTTGCTCATTGAAATGAATTTAATTTTTTGTAGTTATTTTCCTTATTTGATTTGTAAAAGCACAGTATTTTATTTTACTGACAACATTCTTAGGTGTCCATTGATCCATCATCAGAAAATTGAAACTTAGAAATTCTGCATTTTAAGCCTTTACTAGAATAAGGCCTTCATATTCTCTTTAATATTTCAGTTAATTAATTTTTAATTATACTAAGAAACATAAAAATAAATGCTTATTTAAAAATTTCAACTATATAGACCAATAGCTCTGCCCTAGACCATTCCCTTCCCAGAGGTAACTACTGTTTTATAGCCTCGTGTATATTCTTTCAGAAGTTTACATTTTTATTTATATGTATATCAGTGCATGTACATATATAGATTTACATATATGTATTTTTCTATAACATGGTTTTTCATTAAACATTTTGCCTTCGAGATCTTTTCACAATAGTATATACAGAGCTGCCTCAGCTAACTGCATTGTGGTTCACGGAGAAAATATATTGTAATCCATGTACTTACACTTTCATCTAATACTCCAAGGAGATGAAATAATAGGTTTTATTGACATTAAGATCTTCTACATAACAGAACTTCTTTGCTTTAGATTCTACACCCAGATTTGGAAGTAGCAGATCATGCTTTCCCCCCTCCACGAACAGCTTTATCCCACTCAAAAATGCTGGTAAGAAGTTTAAGATTTAAATTTTATGCTTTTAACGAGAACTCTACTTTTATTTGTACAGTTAAAGAAGCTGAATTAGATGGACAGCCTAGTTAAAATAATGAGAGTTAGGTGGACAGCCTAGTAAAAAGTGCACCAAATTAGAAATGAAGAGAATTGCCACTGACTAACTTTGTGACTTGCTCAGGAGGAGTCACGGGGCAGCTCACTGACGCAGTAGGGAGAAGGGCTGAGACGGTTTTCCTGAGGAGGCCTGAGTAAATAGGGGCAGAAAATCAGCACCTAGGCTATAGCCTGGAAAGTGGTGCCAAGCAGCAAATAAAAAGGGTCAGGCAAGGGTGAAAAAAAGGCGGAGGGTGGGGGGAAGCTTACAAAAAATGGAAACAGATTGTTGATAATAGGAGAGAATCAAGTGTGAGCAGTGAGTAGATGAAAATAGTTCCAATTAGAAGCCATAAAGGGTGAGTATATAACAGAGATCCCTTTTTTATTTTGCTCAGTGCATTTCTCAGAGATGAGCTTTGTGGCTAATAAGGAGCTTCGTAGAGCTGGACAGAGCTGGACACCTTTTACAAGTTCCTTAAGCATTCTTGACTATTTCCTCATTAATTAAATAAGGGGTTGACTAGACAAATCTGTAAGTTTCCTTACAGTTCTAAAACTATTATTTTATTAAAGCCTGAATTATCAAAACAGAGTTTAGGTCATACCTTATTAATATAAGAATAGATTTTTATAAGTTGGATAAATTTTGGAAGAATTTTATAAGCTTTAAAAATAGTCATTTTGAGGGTTTTTTCTTTTATAGTTGTAATATTCTTTTGATGGCTATAAAAGTCAAATGACTTGGGAAATGTGCCCTTCTTTAACATGATGAAAAGGGAGACTCTGTGACTTAAGTTTTTTCTGATTGGAAAATTGAATGTACTAGAGGCAAGTTTTGTTTGGTTCAATTTTAAAAAGCTATTGAACAGCCTATGCTGCCAACAATGGAACAGACTAGATGCCCACCACTCAGGGCTGCCACAAGTGAGACTTATATGTAGGTAGCACAGGCATACAGATTTATTAAATAATTCCTCAACTTCTTTACACTTTTTTGGCTTTATAGTATTTCATTTATTTTTTAAGAAATTCAGTTACCTAACATGTTTCTTCTTGTATTTTCAGGATAAAGAAGTACGTGCAGTTTTTCTTAGATTATTTGCACAACTTTTCCAAGGATATAGGTCATGCCTGCAACTTATAAGAATTCATGCAGAACCCGTAATACATTTCCACAAGGTAAGGTACAGAACCATATTGAATCTGTCCAAAATGTAGGCTCTGATTAAATAAAGCAACTTGGTTGTCTTTCGCGGGACATGTATTTTGACCTAAATTTATCAATAAGGTTATTTAAAATCTCTGTTTTGTGTGGTTAGATGATATTTTTTTTTTCTTTTTATTGAATTTATTGGGGTGACACTGGTCAACAAAATTATACAGATTTCAGTTGCACAATTCTGCAACACATCATCTGTACGCTGTATTGATAATTTTTTTTTTTTAATATATCTTTATTGATTTCAGAGAAAGGAAAGGAGAGGGAGAGAGAGAGAAACATCAATGATGAGAGAGTCACTGATCGAGCCCCCAACCTGGGCATGTGCCCTGACCGGGAATCAGACCCCGATCGCCTGGATCCCAGGTCGACGCTCAACCACTGAGCCATGCCCGGCTGGGCTGTATTGATAATTTTTAATAATACTATGGAACTAACATGTTTTCCTTCAGAGTATGTTAACTTTAAATTGGTTTTCTTTTAAAATTGAGTGTTAATTTCTGATTTCTCCTCATTCTTTACAAACTGATTAATTTTTATTCTTTCCAATACATGTAATATCTCAGGTATCAGAAACCTTTTTGAGAGAAATGTAATTTATAGTAACATACTTATGCATGAAGACATTTATTCAAGCTTTATCTTTCTATTATATTTGGTTTTGACCATCCATTCATTACTAAGTGATAAATTATTCATTTCACATTTTCTTTCTTTGCAGACAGCTTTCTTGGGGCAGCGTGGTTTGGTTGAGAATGATTTCCTCACCAAAGTTCTCAATGGAATGGCATTTGCAGGTTTCGTTTCAGAAAGAGGTCCCCCCTATAGATCCTGTGATCTCTTTGATGAGGTATAGTTTTTATCAAATGAATACATTATTTAGAGACAAAATTAGGCTAGTACAAAGTAGAGAAAGTAGTTTTAATTAAACTTTAATAAAAATTATAACTATATTATAAATTAAATATCAGATATTGTTTACTATGCTTATTAGATCTTGGTATTTAAAATGTGGATTAGAAAAAATATAATTATAGGATATCTCAGATATACATAAAATCTTGAACAACTTAATTTTAAATTGTTGATTAAAATCTTTTTGAAAAAATTGACATTGATTGTATAAATAGGACATTTATTTTTGAAGGCAATAGTCTGATTCCTTTATTGGTTTCATAGAGAAAAGGTCTAAGTTTAATGTATAGATATGTGATTTCAAATAGTTACATATGTTGTCTATCAGTGTCCTAGAGCGATAGTTTAGCTTAGTAGCATTCTTACTAATCCACAATAGCTCCCTTGGGAGATATTAAATATACAAAAGACAGATTTAAGTCTCTGTTCCCAGGAATTGGCCACATAAAGGGAAAGTTAGGACAGATGTGACTTAAAATAAGGATGCTATTTTGTGTTCATTGTAATTTCTCTTATTTTAATGCATCTTTCCATTTATCATTTATTTTCATAGAAGCCCATTCTGGTGGATAGAACAAGGAATGTTATTCCTATTTCAGATTCTGAAAGAGTACTGTGTTGGAAACAATAAATGTAAAAGTTCCTTGAGGTCTACAAAAGAAAACACTCCTAGCACCCAAGATAGTGGCAAATAGAAATAGTGATCATATTTTGGTGCTGCTGGTTTTGTTTTATATAGAGAAGATAGGAATCAAGGTCTTAAAGATCCTTGGTTTAGAGAAAGATCTTTTATTATTATATAAAGATAATTAAGTATTTGCAGGTAAGATTGAAAGAAGAGGCACATGTTTTAATTCTGAGTATGGAGAACTGCACCAAATGCTTTCGTTAATAATAAAAACAGATCATGAGGATTTAGGAGCAGTTGCCCTGAGGTGGACAATTGTTTCTCATCAGTTGTTGATCACTGATTCTCTAATACCAACATTAAATACGATTGATCATTGATTAATATTAACATATATCAGCCTTTAGATCCTAAGTAATGTTTTGGGGTTTAAATTAGATACTCTTCAGAGTCTTTCTAGCTCTTACATTTTATTAGTCTCTGAAGCATTTGGAATAGTAACATTGGTTTATGTTCCCCCTTTCTTTTCTATCCAAATTCCCTTCCCCTTCTGGCAATTTCATCCCAATAAGTCATATTGCTTACTTTCAGAAAACTTGCTTGCTACAGCCTCTGACTGTTTTTGTTAGTCCTTCCCGTGCCTGGAGTGCCCTCCCTCTACTTTTCAGTCTGATCATGACCTTCCCTTCTTCATACTCTGCTCTTATCTCACCACCTCCTCCAAAGAACATTGGATGTCTACTAGTCTGCATTGAGCTTTATTTTTTGTCTCTAACTTTATATGGCATCTTCTTAGTGTTCATCCTGTTCTAGCTTCTGCCGTCAGTGATGATTTTTGGCATCTTGTTGATGCTACTTGAAAGCCAGTTCATATGTATACTTGTGAAGTGCCTAAAAGCAATAAGACATCAGACCTACGTAATTTCTCGTCTACCCTCCTTGGCCATTTAATTGGTTTGCAGGAGAGTGTGCTTTTGTAGGAAAGTCATGTGAGCTTCTGGAAAAGGGATCTTTGTTTAGCCCGGGGCTGCCTACCACATGACTGGATTATTGAGCTTTGCAAAGCAGTTTATCCCCACAGTCTCTTCAAACAGACCTGTTAGGAGCAAAGCAGTGTTGTTTGACAATCTTTCTGAATCCTGGCCTAGAATATGTGAAGCCATGGTTTTATATGTCTGTCTATTCCAGTAAATCTATTAGCTCCTAGAAAGGAAAACCTTATACCCTTTTTAAAAAATTCATCCATCTATCTACCCTGCCTCCTCATACAATTTTTTTTTGCTGTTAGTATCTTTTCTCCATTCCAAGTTTACACACTCTCACAATTCTCCCAGCAAATTATTTCGTAGGGAAATGGATTAGAGTTCATATAATTTGAGAACTAGGAGCCTAAAGGTCATCTTGTTCTTGCATCTTATTTTAGAGATGAAGAAACTGGAGCTCAGGAGTTTTAGTGACTTGTTCCAAATCTCACTGTCAGCAGAGCTAGAACTAGCATCTGAGTGATCTGACTTGAACATTTGGTTCATGCTTTGTGAGTTAGGGAAATGTTTGGAGACTTTCTGACCATCGAAAATTCTGAATGAGAGAGATATTTAAGTGAGGCCTGGAGAGTGAAAGGGTCTCTGAGTCCCAGAAATGACTTTTCCCGAGAGGAAATAGGGCCTTAAATCATCAGGGAGAGACCCAGACTATCCAATGACTGGTTGGACTCTATAAATCTAGAATAGAGGTGAAGCCCAGCAAAAGTCTTAAAAAATTTTTTTTAGTAATAGGATATATTTTGGATGCTTTTTGGTTTGCTAATTGTATGAAATTATCACACAGTTTTCTAATTTAGCATATTTTGGAGTTGATGTTTTTCCATTTGATTCTCTTTTCAAGTTGGTAGCTTTTGAAGTAGAGCGAATTAAAATTGAAGAAAATAACCCATTGAAGATGATAAAGCATGTCAGAGAACTTGCTGAGCAACTGTTCAAAAATGTAAGTAAGTATATTTATTTAGACAGTCATTAATTTTAAAAATACTAATAAAGTATTTTGTTTGAAACACTGAAAACTTCATCTTTCTAATGATAATCTTTTTGTTCTGCCTTCAGACCTTTGGGATTGAAAGTTATTATATTTGCAACTATGCATTAAAATCTACCTTATTTTTTTTTAATGATTTTCCTGTCATTTACTGTCCTATGAAAACTTTTTAGTCACAATTTTCCATTTTGTCATTTGCCCTCATTGTGATTTTAAGACAGAAAGATTATACCCATTGGAGACCAGAACTACCTCAGACAGAATTGACCAATGTATTCTGCTTTAGCTTGATTATGAGGGTCAACTGGATCAGGAAAATGATTTGAGTTGAATTGTTTTTTGTTTTGTTTTGTTTTTTAAACATGTTTTTATTGATTTCAGAGAGAGGAAGGGGGAAAGAGAGAGATAGAAACATCAATGATGAGAGTCATTGATCGGCTGCCTCCTGCACGCCCCATACTGGGGATCGAGCCCACAACCTGGGCATGTGCTCTGACTGGGAATCGAACCACGATCTCCAGGATCATAGGTTGATGCTCAACTGCTGAGCCACACCAACTGGGCGAGTTGAATTGTTTTGAACAGACAGGGAGTGAAAAGCTAAAAGACAGCAAATTGTCCAGTGACCAACTACAAAAACTCAAGGCTGAAAATATTCTCCATATAAAAGAAATGTAATAAGTGTAAAAAATTGCTATTTCACACTGGTAAGTTGTGAAATAATAATTTGGATACCAGGAAAGAAGAGAACCTAATGTGACAGGGAGACTATGCACATGTGGAAAATGGATTTTGGCTAATGATTACAAGTCATTCCTCCTGCTTACAAAGCTTTTTCAGAGTTGAATCCTTTTGCTAAGAAAAGGAAAGTAAGTGGAAAGCGCATAGTCTTCCAGGGGAAAGTTGAGGGAAGATATATTTTTCAGGAGACATAGTTAAGAAGGATATGGGGCCAGTATCCTGGTATCATCTAACTTAATTATCTGCATAGGTTTACCTTTTGGGATGTTGGGTCATTAGTCACATCCATTCAGAATCTGAGAACCAATTGGATAAAAGCGGGAATATCAAACTGTGTTCCTTTATTCAATTATTTATGAATTTTATTTCTGAAGTTACTTTAAAATGTGTCTCTTGGACTGATAGCCTAAACTCCACATATAACTGTCCAATATCATAATAAATCTATTTCTTGATTAGTGTGCTGGAACTTAAGAAAAATTCTGTCAAAAGGAAAACTTGAGTTCAGTGCTGGTCTTTGCCATTTGTGGTGGCTGTGCAGAACTGATGTATAGCATGAGCATATGAGACTTTTCTGTTGACCTACTGTAATAATAAATATTGAGTGTTTAGAACAACATGCCAGGCAGGGATTAAGCACTTTACATATATCATCTCCAATCCTCATATCAATAATGTAAGATATAGGTGTCATTATCCCCATTACACTAGGAATAATTGGCTCAGGATCATAAATGGCTTTTAAGTAATTGAATCCAGATTTTAAATTCAGGAATTTTTATCTATCCAATTCCTAAGTCTATGTTCTTACACTCCATTAGGCTGGCTCATCTTCAACTGGAAAAACTGTGGTATTTCCCATGGCTGACTTTATACTTTGTTCTTTATAGAACACTTTAATGTACTTTCTCATATGATCTTAGAAATTACCCTGTGAGATAGATAGGGTAGATGTTGATAGGTGAGGAGACTGAATATTAGAAAGCCTTTTTTCCTTTCCCACTTGGAGTGATTTATTGATGTGTTTCAAAAAAATAACAAAATATGAACTGGGAGTCAGTTTGATACTCTGGGACTGATTCCTTTAATACTGAATGTTTACTTCTTAGATCTTTGCACACCTATTCCAGAACTGCAGAATTTTATTTAAAGCCAGTAAGGGACCAGAGCTGGGGCTCTGACACAGATTTGTCTCTGTTACAAGACCGAGTACACAATGTATGTTAGGGAGTATGCCAAGCCACTTTGATGCAAAAACGAAGTAAATTTTTTTCTTGCCATCCTAGAACTTAGATTTTGTGATGCATAGCTAACACTAAAGCCAACACAATACTGAAAACTGCAGTAAAATAAATATCTACTAATTATATATTCTTAAAGGCGAATGTAAAGCACCAACAATGCCTGTCCTTGAACACTTTAAAGAGGTCATCATGAGGGATTGTATTACTAGGGGAGATGTGGAAATACCCTTCAGATGAATGCTACATTTCTTGAGCCCTTATTGGACTTCTTTCTTCCCACACTCCAGTTCTGTTTCATTTCATTTCATTCAGTATGTGTTTATTAGGCTCCTACTGTTGCCAGCATTTTCTAGGTACATGATTCTCTAATATCCTTGAGAGAGGGATACATGATGAGTGAGAATTTGAGACTGTCCCAATGGATTGTCATCAGACTTTCTGTAATTCTCTCTTGAATTTAAAGTCTTTGATGGTCCCAACATTCCTGAAGTAAATGCTTGACAGAGTTAGAAAGCAGAGCACGATGGTCATGCAGGAAGTTGAGGGGAGGAGGAAGTATGGTCTCAATGCAAAGGAAATAATCCAGATGGTTCTATTTTTAACTAGTCAGTTTTTTATAAATCACATTTCTAAAATTCCCTCTGGTAAGCAAGGGCCAGCCATATAATTTGACTGTTCCCTTATTATTGGGTTATAATTGGGACCTGGTGGTTCCATTCTGATGTTTGTAAATACTTTATGGCACTGAAGTCTGGTATGTGTATAGCCTCTCTCCTTTATTTCCCTTTAAAATACCTCAAAAAAGAACCTTAATTTTTCAGTTTCTTCTCACCGCTCCTTTATGTTGCTTTTGAGTGAGCAGGAATGAATTGTAGGAATATGAGTAGATAGGAATAGGGTGATTGTAACTGGGTTGAGCTGCTGTTTTGACTTTCTGGAGCTTCCTAAATAATTAAGAAAAGTATTTGGTGACTGGTGGAAGAGGGGAATGGGAAAGTGGAATGAAGGAGAAGAAAAGGAATAATCCATTACAGACAAATCATATAAGCATCAGTAAGGCTCATACCATGAAGATTGTTGGCCATACATTTTTGCAGCTTTTCTTTCCTTTGCCCAGTCGATAAGAATGGGTCTGCCCACTTTGGCTTTCAGAATCTCCGATACCTGTGTGATAGCACATTTAGCGACTTACCTCCTCTGTCCCTGTGATTCTCGATACACACTCATAAAGGACCACTAACTGCACACAAAATGAGAATGTTTAGATAGGCCAGGACAAGAATTTTATAAAACTTCCATTTCAAGGCATCAAGAAATGAGTTGGACATGTGTTTTACATAGTGCAGCTTTTGTCATTTGTTTTGCATCTGCAGTAGTACGTAAATATTAGCTAGATGGTGTAATTTGTCTGGCAGTTTTCTTAAAAGTTAAAGGATAAATGAGAGCACTTGGACTTTCTGATAAAATAATATGCGATTCTTATTTGTCCTTTACCGGTATTTCATTGCCCAACATGGAAACAAATAGGTTCTAAAATCCTAAAGGGGGAACAGATCCCAGCTATAGGAATAGCCATTCTAGATCATGTAAGATCTACACCCTTTACATTTCTTCAGAAAGTTAATTTCACTATCAGGCAGATTTAGTGTACACTGATGATATTTGTACTTTTTGCTAATTGTGAGTAAAGGGATTTGTTGTTATAGGAATGAAGTAAAACATTGTGATCATCTTTAAAGAGTCAAAACGTAAACAACTTGTTTAGATTATTATGAGAAAATGAGGCCCCAACTCAAACCATAAAAATCAAACTCCTTTCCCCCATCCTGTCTAATTTGTTTGTTCATGTTTTTTAAGTCAAGTTTACTATGATAAATTCTCATATAGTAAAATTTGCCCTTTTAAAATGTACAGTTCTATGGGTTTTGGCACATGAATAAAGTATACAACCACCACAGTGAGGACATAGAATATTTTCTTTTTACTCCCAAAATTTCTCTAATATGCCCTTGTATTCACATTCTCCCACCACCTCCAACTCTTAGCACCTGATGTGTTTTCTGTCTGTGCATTCTTTTCTCTTCCATAATCATGGTGTAGTTTTTGAGTTCGATTTCTTCGCTTAGCACAGTGCATTTCAGATTCACTCCTGTCACTACTTAAATCCATTGTTAATTTCTTTTTATTGTTGAGTAGCATTCCATTGTATGATTGTACCAAAGTTTTATTTATGTGTTACCCAACTAAAGGACAACTGTGGCAGTTATTAGTAAAACCACCCTAAACATTTGCATAGTTTTTTGTATGAGCATAAATTTTCATTTGTCCTGGATAAATATTTAGGAGTAGGATACTGGGAATAAAAGGTTAACTCTTTAAGAAAGAAGACATTTCCCAGGTGTCTGTACCATTTCGAATTTCCTCCAGCAATATATGAAAGTTTCTTTTGCTCCATTTCTTTACTAGCACTTGGTATCCTCAATTTTTTGTTTTGTTTTTAGCCATTCTAATAGGTGAGTGCTGGTATGTTATTGTGGTTCTAATTTGCTTGTCAATAGGTGTGAGAATGTAGGTCTCTTAGCTGGTCACTGTATGCTTGTCTTAGAATATGAAGCTTCCAGCTAGAATCATGAATTAGAGCAGTGTTTCTCAACAGGGGCAATCCCTTCCCTCCAGAAACTTGGCATTTCAGTATCTAGGGACATTGTTGGTTGTCACAGCTGAAGAGAGTGTACTACTGGCATCTGATAGGTAGAGGTCAGGGATGCTTCTAAACATCTTACAATATACAAGACCCCCCCCAAGAATTATGTAGCCCAAAATGTCAATAGTTCCAAGGTTGAGAAACCCTTAGCAACCAGCATATTAGATAGCAAAGTCGTACACCAATTTATTTTATTAAGGATGAGACATTAATTCAATTGGGTGATCATTGAAAGGCCTATGAAGATGGAAAATTGAGAATGTTTCGTTCTGTCAATATTGTATTCATAGCCAGGCAACTCTAAAATATTTTAAAGTTACATTTTGTCAGTGTTTAACCACTCAGTCCAGTGATAGTATTGGTTTCGGCAGTATTTAAAAGGATTTTTTAAACTTGCGGACCCACAAAGCTCTAGGTATAATTGGTGCATATTGAATAATTATTAAATGACTAAATTATTATGGGAAACTTGGTAACCTCTGACAAGGCCACATGGATTTGTCATTCACTGCTGAGACCAATGTGTAGGAGGAACTTTTTTCCCGTGTGTGGCTGTTGCCTACTTTGAATTTCCAGTAGGGGCTGGGGTTTTTTTGTTTTGTTTTGTTTTGCTTTGCTGTGCTTTTATTTGAAGTGTATTCTCAGCCTCGTTTTCTTTAGGACCTAGGGATATTCTCATTTAGCTTGCCAACAAAAGAGAAAAATCCATGTTTCCATACCATACGGTATGTGTGTCATCTTTTAAAGTCTGAGAAAATCATTGTACCACCCATTGCTATAGTATATACCCTTACAGCAGGATCACAGAGACATTTCTTGAAAGTCATTATCCAACTTCAAAATTCCCTCTAAGTGATAGTGCATTTTATAATGCCAGCTTTTTTGGGCAGTTCATCTTGGTTGTTTTGGACAAAATTATTACCATGTACACCATAATTGTCTTTTTGTGTGACTCCTTGGTTATTACTTTGTATTTGCATTTCTCTGCAATTAAAAATGACAATTGGCTGCTGCTTTGTTCTATTGGAAAATAATTAATTTCCTTGGAAATTCAACAAAATTGGGCTGCAGTTTTTAGTGAGCTCAGTAATCTTCAAGGGACTTGCCCACATGCATTTGGAGTTACAAGAAAGAGCAGATGTTTCTAAGAATATCTAGCGTTCAATGAGCCTTAGACTTCCTATCATTTCTGCTGTCTTAGGAGTTGTTATGTGACAAAACTGGGTATAATGTGGTGAATGTGGTCCTTTATATTTACCACACTGACCATTAGGGGGCAGCAGTGCACAAACACAACAGCCAGAGAACCAAACATGCTAGATTTGGGGGGCATGAGGCTTTTTTGAATCTTCTAAACACAATTGTATATATTATAATTTAGTAACTTTAACCCATTACCTGAATTTTTACATAGAATATATATTCAACTACAGGATAGCCTCATCTTTGAACTTTGCTTTAAAATGATTTTTAAAATGCTTGTTTTTCTGAATTGTGTATGAATTTGATTTACAATACTTCAAACTGTTATGAGAAAAAACGCTATTAATGACTAATAGCAATATCTTTTATTTAATTAGTGATTTCTATTTAAATCATTATTTAGTACTATTATTGTTGCTGTTAACATATAAGTAGCTGGTGATATGGGAATCTTGGGAGAAAGTTTGTAGAGGCCTGGTGTCATGCCATAGAACATGGAGTGAATAAATGTTTTTCAAATGGATGTACCCTAGACTTTTGGAAAACAGCTTTCAGAATTATTCTGGGGAAGTGTGTGTGCGCACGTGCGAGTGTGCGTGTGTGTTCTAAAAGCTTTTTTTTAACAACTCGTTCTATCCTTACAAGAACCTTATGAAGTAGGTACTGTATTATTATCTTCATTACAGATGAAGAAACTAAAATACACTGCACCAGGTCACAGTGCTAAACCGGGATTTGACCCAGGCGGTCCAACATCAGAGACCATGAATTAAAAGTACCTCTTGTACTCCCTCTCATTGAATTGTCTAGCCTCGCCCTCTGAATTATAGTGCCCCTTGCCTCCATCACATTTTCACACATAGTCCTATTTCTGGGTGCTCTGTTCCATTAGTTGTTTAGCGCTTCACGAATACCAGTTGCCACACTATGTTAATTATTAAAGGTTTGTGTAAGTTTTGACACCTGGAGAGTTTGAGTGCCCGCTTACTCTCCTTCACAATAACCTTGACTATTTTAGGACTCTTGTTCATAAAGTTTAAGATGAACTTGTCACATTATGGGATTTTGACTAGAAGCAATGGGTGTCTCCGTATTTTTCTAACCCACCTTAAGTCATTTTTGGACCAAGATAGAAGTGCGTATAGTAAAAGAGATAGATAAAATATAGCTAGAAAACATGGCATCACTAAGAAGATCTCTCGTCTACTTTTATTTTTCTATGTTTTAAGCTTTGTTTTAATGAACATTATTTACATCATGGAAAATGTATTTAAAGTCTTAATTTTTATTATAAAAAAAATAAGTTTCAGTAGAAACAAAAGTAGTGAAGATTGTAGTTTAAGTGATTCTGATTTAGACTTGAAAATCCATGTGAGTTACCTCCCCATCCTGAAAAAATATCTGCCCAAGGGCTTTTAGAAAATTTATATTTATAACTTTTGAAAAGATATCTTTAACTCGTGCCTAAAGAACAGAGAAAAAACAAATACACTATTTGCAAAGGGCAATTTCATAAACTATAGACCAGGGACGTTGGTGTAAATCCAGGAATAATTTTAGAACAGGTTTTTCAACATACAGTTTGGAAAGTGGTGATCATGCAGTCTTGGCATAGGAATTTACTTATTTATTCTTCCCTGCCTTTGCTGATGACATAAGGGGAAAATACAAAGTGTGTATGAGGGCTGCTCTGGCAAGAACACGTTTTCTGTCTGATTTCAGCTTTTCAGGAACCTTGTAAGAGAAGCGTGAGCATGTACCTGAGGCAGAATTACTTATCCAGTTTACATAGTGAGCAGAGAAAAATCTAGAACCCAGGCTTTGTGACATTGTGTTGCTGAGATGTGCTTCCTACATCATCTGCTGTGGCCCAGCCTTTCCTTTTTCTGGGTCTGGGCCAAATAACCCAAAAGAATTGTGGGAGCAGCTCTAATACATGGTGACATTGGCCATTTTAACTGTCCAGAGAGTGCATGGGGTAGTGATGAGCTTAATCTACAACATGAATAACATAGATTCTTTTAGGAGGGGGGAGATTCTGCTTACAAAGGATAATGAATGCTAGACTTGGCCTCAGAATGGCTGTAAAGCCACCTTCCCTAGAGAACTTTATAAAAAGGATGGATGTCACTCTGCCTGGAGTATTTGAAATATAACCCTACTTAACTGGGTGACTGGATAAAAGTCTATGACACATTTAATTCAATTATTACAATCCCAATATATGTTCAACATTGTGTCCCATTCACTAGGAAACAGTAGGAAGTAGCTTAGGGTGCCTGCTATGTGCCAGGCAGTTTCTAGATGCTGAGGATAAAACTTTGAAAAGTCTGCCCTTGTGGAGTTTCATGTTATTGAGAGGATAGACAATAAAGTTAAATAAAATGTATAGTATGTGAGAAGGTGATAGGCGCTAAGGAGGAAAATATAATAAGGGGATAGGGGGTATGTTGGGGGGATAATGCTATATAGGGGAGCCAAGAAAGGTGGCATTTGAGGAAAGAAATGCAGAAAGGGAGAGCGGATGCTGTAAATGGGTGGGAAACAGGCATTCCAAAGAGGTGACAGGTAAATGCAGAGGCCTTGAGGCAGGAACTAGAAGGCCTGTATGTCTGGAGCAGAAAGAAAGAAGAAACAGTTGGTTGGACACGGTCACGTAGAAAAGCCCGATCTTGTGAGGCCTTGTAAATTATTGCAAAAACTTTGGGCTTTACTCTGAGTGAGATGAAGAGCTATTTGAGTGAACAGAGTAGGTAGGTGGTGATTTAACATACTTGAACCAGTTCGTTCTGTCTGCGGTGTTAAGAATAGAGGAGGGAGACCAGTGAGAATAGAATAGAGGAGGGAGTTCTGCAATAAATGAGAGATGCTGGCTTGAACCAAGGTGTTCAAAAGTGTCAAGTTTAAACATACTTTAAAGGCTGCGTCCGGAGGTTTGCAGAGGAATGGATAATTGGGTGTTAGAGGAAAGCATTGAAGATGACTCTAAACTTTTCACCTGAGTGATTGGAAAAATAAATATGCCGTATACCGAAGAGGTGGACTGTAGAAAGCAGATTTGGAGAAGGTGAAGATTAAGTGCTCCATTTTGGACATGTAAGATATTATTTTAAATCCAAATGGAAGTACTTATATTGAATATATGGGTATGGAGTTCAGGAGAAAGCTCAGTTGGAGATAAAAATTTGTGAGTTATTGGTGTTTATGTGGTTTAAAGATATGAGACTGGGAAATTATCACCAAGGAATTAAGTATAAATAGAAGAAAAGCCCAAAGTCTGAGCCCTGGGATATTCACATAGTTAAGAGATTAGGGAGATAAAAAATAAAGATGTAGCAAGAAGACTGAGAAATCAAGTGAAAATGTGTTCATGGGAGGGGAAGAAGGGCGATCAGCTGTATCAGATGCTGCTGAAGTGAGGTTCTGGGGCTCTGTGTTTTATGGCATGTATCTATGAGTGTACATAAAATCACTCATCTGATTGAAGTGTGTGTCCCTTCCTGACAGTCTGCTGTTACTTCAACTTTTGCATAACTTTACCTGCGTTTGATGTTGCAGGAGAATCCAAACCCTCATATGGCATTTCAGAAAGTTCCACGCCCAACAGAAGGTTCCCACTTGCGAGTTCACATTCTTCCTTTCCCAAAGATTAACGAAACCCGGGTACAGGAATTAATCCAGGAAAATCTTGCTAAGAACCAGAACGCACCTCCTGCTTCACGAGTGGAAAAGAAATGTGTTGTGCCCGCAGGTCCACCTGTCGGTATGTATCTGTTTCTTTAAAAGTAAAACTTTTATCAAGATATAAGACACAAAAACTAAAGTGTACAACTTGATGAATTTTCACAATTTGAACAAACTTGTATAACCAGAATCAGAGCATTATCAACACCCAGAAACACTGTTACATTCATTCACTGCCTCTCACAAGGGGTAGCCATTAATCTAACTGCCACCACTATAGAATCTTTTCTTTTTAAAAACAGCTATATCGAGATATAATTCACATTCCATAAAACCCATTTAAAGTGTACAGTTCAGTGGTTTTTCGTATATTCACAAGGTTGTGCAACCATTTCACTGTCTAATTTTAGAACAGTTTCATTATCTCAGATAGATATACCCACGCCCATTAGGAATCACTCCCAATTTTCCCCTAATAATCACTCCTTCCCTCGCTTTAGTCAGTAATCTACTTCCTGTCTGTAGATTTACCTATTTTGGACATTTTATATAAATGGAGTCTTATAATATGTGATCTTTTGTGACTGGCTTCTTTCATTCAACGTAATATTTTTAGTTTATCCACATGACATGTCAGTACTTCATTTCTTTTTGTGGCTGAATAATGTTCCATTGTATGGATGTACAGATGCTCCTGGACTTACAGATGGGGCTACCTCCTGATAAATCCATCTTAAGTTGAAAATATCATAAGTTAAAAATGCGTTTAAGCCCTGGCCAGTGTGGCTCAGTTGGTTGGGTGACATCCCTTGCACTGAAAGGTTGCTGCTTCAATTGTGGGTCAGGACACATGCCCAGGTTGCAGAGTTGATTCCCCATAAACACATCAATGTTTCTCTCTCTCTCCTTCTTCTCTCTGAAACTCAATTAAAAAATCTTTTTAAAAAATACATTTAATACACCTAACCTATCAGCCATCATAACTTAGCCTAGCCTACCATAGATGTGCTTAGAACACAGCATCCAAAAACCGCTGGTAACACAGTACACTGTAGAGTATTGGTTGTTTACCGTCATAATCACTGTGGCTCACTGCAGCTACCCAGCATCAGGAGAGAATGTCCTACCACAGATAGCTAGCTTGGACAAGGTGAAAATTCAAAATTTGAAGTACAGTTTCTACTGAATGCTCACTGCTTTTGCACCATCCTAAAGTGGAAAAACCATAACTCGAACCATCATCCTAAGTTGAGGACCATCTATATACCATATTTTGTTATTCATTCATCAGTTGATGAATATTTGGGTTGTTTCTACTTTTGCTACTATTAGTAATGCTGCTGTGAGCATTCATGTGTAAGTTTTTGTGTGGACATATATTTTCACTTTTCCAGGTACATACCTAGGTGTGGAGTTGCCAGGTCATGTAAGTGTTTTTTTGGTGTTTTGAGGAACTGCCAGATTATTTTCCAAAGCAGCTGCACCACTTTACATTCCCACCAGCAATGTGTGGGCGCTCCAGTTTCTCCACATTCACTAATGAGGCAGAGCATCTTTCATTTACCTATTTGCCATTGTTGCATCTTCTCTGGAGAAATGTCTGTTCAGATCCTTTGCCCATTTTTAAGTTGGGCTATTTGTCTTTTTATTATTGAGTTGTTAAGAGTTCTCTATATATTCTGTACACAAGTCCTTTATCAGATACATGATTTGTAAATATATTTTCCCGTTCTGTGAGTTGTCTTTCTTTACTGATTTATCTCTTCTTTTTCTCGAGGGAGGTATGTTAAATCTTTCATGATAATAGCAGAATTGCCTTTCTCATTTTAGTTCTCTCTCTTTTTTTCTTTATACATTTTGAAGTTGATTTATTGGGTGCAAATGTATTTACAGACGTTACAGCATCCTGGTGATTGATCCCTTTGTCACTATGAAATGTCCCTCTTGTCTCTAATTGTGCTTCTGGCCTTAAAGTGCTCCTTGATGTTGGTACAGCTACACCAGCTTTCCTTTGGTTAGTGTTTGTACAGTTTATCTTTTTTATCCTTTTATTTTCAAACATTTTGGTTCCCCATATTTAAGGTGTGCCTCTGGTAAGGTGGTGTGTTTCTTTAGCAAGTCTGACTGTCTTAGTATATTACCTGTTTGTAACTCATTTATGTAAATATAATTACTTATATGGTAATGGCTTTAACGTAATTTACTGGGTGGGATTTTTCTATCTGATCCTCCTGTTTTACTCTTTCCCTTGATTTCTTGCTTCTTTTGGATTAATAAACTTTTTCTTTTTCCGTAATTTATCTCGTCATTTACACATTTCTTCAATGTTCTTTTGGAGGTTTACCTAGAGACTATGGCGCACACCCGTTTTTGTCTGTTCAGCTTTCACCAGAAACTTAGCTGGTCATGGGCAGCCTCGCCGTAAGCCAGACCCGAGCCTGGGTTCTCAGCCTCTTGTCTGCACACAGTCTTGACAGATCTCCTGGGGAAAGTGGATGTGTGTCTCCAGTCTTTTCCCTTCGCTGGCCTTTTAGGTCCTCTAATATTTGTATTTCTGTAGCTCTCTGACACATTTAAATAGATAGTTTTTGCATTTTATCTGACATTTATACCTGTCCCTGGTAGAAGTTTTAGTTTGCTACAAAACTGTTCCATCCTACCTGGAAGTGAGTGTAATTTTATTATTAATGGGTAACAGTGCATTAATTATATTATTTATGTAATAATGCTGGTGATTTATGTATTATTAACATTTATGTTATGTATGTAATAGTAGTAATATTGCTTATTTGTTTAGTAATGTTAATTTGCCACTTTTCTAAGAATTGAGAGCTTTACTGAAGTGTTGCTTGTACATTCACACGAAGAGGATGCAGAAGGTAGACGTGTTAGGGTAAATAGTTATTTTTTGAAGGATTTTGGTCACATAATTTTAATATTTGTAAGTTTGTTGAATGCTTTATTTAAATATCCACATGAACAGATTAGAAGTTCCTTTACAGTGTAATATGCTTGAATTGTAGCCTTAATTGTCTCAATTTATCCTTGTATAATCATTTTGCAGTCTTCATTTTCAGTTCACTTCAAATTCTTTGTTTAGGCGCATGTGGAATGTCTCACTGTAACCAGTGAGACAGGTACACGTGACTCAGTATTTGGCCCTGCATGTACTTCCTGTAAAAGCCAAAATGAATGAATGAATGAATGCATGCAGGGGCCTCTGTCCAACTTTCTGGTTTGTTTGGGTTGGTCAGAATCAGGATTTCCCTAGTCCTAAAATTAAAAGCTGTGAATGTTTCATTTTACATGATACTCATTTAATGAGTATAGAATTGCTCTGTTACCTTAAGAGACATTCACATTTTGAGAAGTTAACTGGTTTCATCTATTCCTCAGAGAGGCCAGAGTAATGATGATTGGCTGGAACTATCATTCAATAGCTAAAGCCTTAGAAAGGAAGTCCTCAGAAGTCAAGTACCCATAAACCAGAGTTGTTATCAGATGTTAGAAATCTAGTATTAGAATGCCGCAACTGGGGATTTGGCCAGTCCCTGAAGTATCAGTAGCTCCAACAGAACTCTCTTCTGGGAGTGAACTAAGTAATAGTCTCCAACAGGAAATAATAATTCCCAGATGCTAAACAGATTCATTGTAAGAAAACAGGGATTTTTAAATGCCTGGTTCTAAAGAAAATTTAAAATACTGCTAAAGATATTCTACAAGTAAAAGTTTATAAACAGCTTGAAGATGTTGCTCTCAGTAAAGTATGTGGTATTTTTTGGAGACTCTTAAGACTTTTTTACTCTAAATATAAATTGATTTCTATTTCAGTCTATGCCATTAACCTACGTGTGTGGGAAGCACCAGAGCCCACAATTAAAAATGAGCATTTCTACCCTGGCCTGTGTGGCTCAGTTGGTTGGGCGTCATCCGGTCCACACAGAGGTTGTGCAGATTCGATTCCCAGTCAGGGCACACAGCCAGGTTGCGGGCTTGATCTGCCGTAGGGGGTGTGTAAGGGGCAGCCTATCAGTGTTTCGCTTTCACATTGACATTTCTTTCCCTCCTCTCCCTTCCTTTCTAAGAATCAGTTTTAAAATCTTAAAAAAAAAAGAAAAAAAAAAGGAATGAGCATTTCAGACAGAAAAATCATATGAAATAATCTAATTGACTACCATGGTCATGCAGAAATTAATATACAATTAAAAATGATTGGAAGAAAATTGGTAAAATCAAAGTAAGATGTGTTGTCTAGTTAATTATATTACGTCAATTGATTTCCTGATTCTGACAAAGCACTTTAATTATGTAAGATGTCACCACTGGGGGAAGCTGGGTAATAAGAAGAGCATGGGTCTTCTTTATACTATTTTGCAACTTTTTGCGAGCTTATAATTATTTTAAAATGTTTAAAAATGATTTGAAGGTTATGAGGTTTCATATTGATGAAATGGAAGGGATGCTAATGAGTAAGATATGATAGTCTTTCTTGTTAGGTATGGGGAGGGCTTATGGGATTATGCCTTTAGATTCCAAGAGCAGCTCTGAGCTATGAGGAATTTTTTTTTTTTTTTGGCTTAAGAATTATTGATGCTACCTCATTTGTACAAATGATACAATATAGTTCTTTGTGAAATTATACTTTTTGTTTAACAAGAACTCCTTTCATTTATATCCTTCTGACATTTTTTTAATAAGTTAAATTTATCTTAAGTAATTTTAGCTCATATAATAGACTGGAATTATCCAATATTATGGTGAAGGTGACAGTTACCAAGTTCACAGGACTGAAAAGCAGCTCTCCTAAATTTGTATAGCAGTTACTTGGCTATGACATTTCTCTTTTGGTAAAGTGCTCCTTCAAGTCCCTTCTACTTAAATTTGTAGCATCTAAGTAGGGGGTATGTGGTTTTTCTTTGGTAATGTAGAAATATCAACTTCTTTTTTTCATTAGTAGTCCTCTTACATGTAAACATTAGCTACTTTTGTCATGATCCTATACCCCAACACTTATCAGTTTGTTTACAATTAAAGTTAAAATAGATGTTTACCTTTGCTTAATATGATTTTACTATGAACTATGAATTAATTTGCTTGAGTTAAGTGTATCATTGGAATCTATCCTGTGAAATTATCCTCAGTAAGTCATTGACTAGCCTGACACTTTAAAATTTGAAAATACAATCAAAATAATGAAATGGAATACTTTCAGCGCCATGTGACAAGGGAAACAAATTTTAAGCGTCAGTCATGTAAATGGTTACAGTCATATAAACGCAAAAGAATGCTATTCCCCTTGCTTTATAATTGCCAGAGGAGTTTAATTTACTTGTGTTTTCTTTCTATTCCTTTACTAGTTTCAATAATGGATAAGGTGACAACAGTTTTCAACAGTGCACAGAGATTGGAAGTTGTTAGAAACTGCATCTCGTTCATTTTTGAAAATAAAACATTGGAGACTGAGAAGGTAAGAAAGCGCCGTCTCTCGCGCATGAAGCCGGAACCTCCCGGGCCCACACGGCAGCTCGCCGCTGACCCCCGCGCCTGTCCTTTTCCTTAGCGAGCATTCTGAGCGTTTTGAATGAAGTGTCGAGATTTAGTGGTAGCCAAGCCTGACTTCATGGCTGCCGGCAAACAGGGAGGGTCAGTGTTTCCCTCAAACTTTCAACATTGTTCATTAAATCCTATTTTGGCATATTACTTAGGAACTTGACATTTTATTTTGTTTTTTTAATTGTTCAGTTACATTTGACATAAAAAATTATATTAGTTTCAGGTGTAAAACATAGTGATTAGACATTTATGTAACTTATAAAGTGATCACCCTGATAAGTCTGTTACCCATCTGACACCACACACAATTAACATTTTAAATATAATTATATTTATGGCAAAGAATCTAGTTGGATAAGTAATAAACTGTGGTGTTCAACTCAAATGTGCCTTGTTAAAGCAGATTTTCTTGCCTTCTTTAATAAAACATGCCAAACATAATGTAACCTCTTAGTGATTTTCATCACAGTTATAAACATGTAAAGCATGTAAAGTTTTGACCCTTACACCTAATGACCCCACCCCTCTTTCTATTTTGAGGTTGTTCATTTTCCCTTTTTTCATATGGTTGAAGTGTTACAGACTTTTGTTCCCCTGCTTTCAGCTTTCACATCCTGTTTCTTGTACCTGTCCATAAAAGTATTATGCCCTCCTACTCTCAGGCTTCTTCCCTTCCTTCTTATTTGCTCCTTTGTTCTGCTTTTTAGATTTTGAGAGTTAAATAAACCTATTATTGTTTTATTTAAAGCATGTTAACTAGGCTTTACGTGGTGAACTGGAGGAGGCATTCTAATGAGTGATGAAGTGAAAGGTTTTTTATGAATAAACCTAAAAATTTCTATTTGTTGCTGAGTCCCTTTTTTTTTTCATTATTATGATATTGAAATGAGAAGAGATTGTAGTATTTTCCAGTCATAAATTAAAACCAAGTAGTGATTAAATAGCTGACCAGTTTAAAAGTAGGAAATCACCTGTGTGTGTTTCTTGTCATTTTAATTTTTTTTTTCCTATTCTTGCCATGGAGATGTGGCCAGTTATTGAGAGACAGAATCTAAGTATCTCTGGCTTTGACTTGTGATCTGAAGTAATAGTTACTTGGTGACCAGAGTTTTGATGAGGTTTTTAAAAGTGTAATTTAAAAAAAATTTATTAAATAAACTAATTCTACTTATTTTTGTGCTTGCTTATAAATAAAAATAACTAAAAATCCATCTTTTTATAATTGTCCTCAATAGTAAGCTACTCTTTTCCAGGAGTTTAATTTTACTAACTATTCAGTGGTTTACAGGAAGCACTTGAATGTTCAGTGAGATTACAAGTTAATTTTCTCCAGTGGCGCCTGTTGTTCACGTCTGCCTCTTTTGTCCTCAGACCCTTCCTGCTGCACTGCGAGCCCTTAAAGGAAAGGCAGCAAGACAGTGTCTCACTGATGAGCTGGGTTTGCACGTCCAGCAAAACCGGGCAATACTAGACCATCAGCAGTTTGACTACATAATAAGGATGATGAACTGCACTCTGCAGGTAATTTTTAGTTTTTTTCAGATTATTTCTTATTTGTGAATACTTTTATTTTTCCAGGAAATTGGGTAATTGCCAACATATCAAGGTCTTGAGCCTTCCACAGCTTATAGAATGAAGAGCCAATACCCATCTTATTTTTAACAGAAACACTTATTTATTCCTTGGCATAAATATTTAGAGTTTTTCATTCCTTGCTTTCTCCTTAAAAATACTAAGTTATTTTACTGGTTTTTAAAGCAACCTTTCTGAAACCAAACAGCCATCTTGAAAAATATTTGGTTATATTTTACTTAATGTGTGTAATCATTTCAAACCTATTTCAAAAGATACCTTTCTCAGAAGTTCTAACTTAAAACCTGGCATCAAAAATGTAATCTTATAATAAGTACTTTGTAGTTCATTTAAGCAAACTGACAAGATAAGAGATGATTCACCTTTACTGGAAATACAGTCTTACTTTTTAGAGTATAAGAGACTAGCTGTCATAGTTTGTAATAAAAATTGAACACAACCTAAATGTTTACCATTTGGATATTAATTAATTTAATTATGGTACAGCTCTTCTTTGGAATAGTGTTCAGCTACTAAATAGAAAGAGATGAATCTATAATGTATACCCATATTGAAAAACTTCTGTTATACATTGTGAGGTGGGCAAAAAGGAAGTTACATAAAGTAAATATAATATGATTTTATTTTTGACCTGAAATTACATGTATTTATATGTATGTATACCGTAGTAAAAATCTGGAAGGATATGTACACTAAATTCTTAAAAATGTAAATGATTATCTCTGGCACATGGATTAGAAGAGTTTTGACTCCCAATTTATTTTATTTTTTTTTTCTTTTATTTTTTTTCAGAGAGAGGAAAGGGGAGAGAGAGAGAGAGAGAGAGAGAGAGAGAGAGAGAGGAGAGAGAGGGATCGAGAGAGATCGAGATNGGAAAGGGGAGAGAGAGAGAGAGAGAGAGAGAGAGAGAGAGAGAGAGGGATCGAGAGAGATCGAGATTGAGATCGAAAGAAACCTCAATGATGAGAGAGTCATTGATCGGCTGCCTCCTGCACGCCCCTGACTGGGGATCAAACCCGCACCCCGGGCATGTGCCCTGACTGGGAATCGAATCCCGATCGCCTGGATCCTAGGTCTATGCTCAACCGCTGTTGACTCCCAATTTAAACCTTTCTCAGCTTGAAACACATACACACACACATACACATACATATACAAGCATAATTAAATTATATGAAACATAACGCATCTATTTTATAATTTTAAAAAGATTCTCATTTTTGTAGTGAGGAACTTATCAAACACCTTTATGAGAAGAATACAACACAATAAATGTGCCCTAAAAAAACCATATGTCATTTGTTACTGTTACTTTGGTACTGTTATTATAGAGAACAAAGGAATGTGATTAACAGATCAAGGTCTCTAGAAGCCCTAAAGTTAGGTAATTTCCTGATTCCCTGTACTAATTGGTGATACAACTACAAAAACTGGGTTAGGGAGCTTTCTTCCATTAGTACTTTCTGTGCTGTTTATTTACTGAAGAACTGAGTTTTAAGGCTTTCTCTAAACTTAATTTTAGCATATACTAGTTAGTAAGTCACTTGTAGAATAGTCAGTTACCCTTGGGCTACAGATGTTTTTCTTTTTCGTTTGAATACGTATATTTCTGAAAAAAATAAAGCATGGATGTGTCCTTCTTTAAAATACATCTGGAATGATGGGCACCTAATATTTTATATATTTCAGTGTTTCATAAACACGTAAAACCAGAGCCTGTCCTCATCATAGCACATGCTGTTGTTGAACATTAGGTAGAGGCTCTTCTGAGTTATAAATGGGCTCACATGTGGTATTCTTATTTTAATGGGTTATTTATTACCAATTTGGGATTTATTAGTATTTCTATTACTATTGCAACAACGTTACTTGTGGGGATTTAACATGACATTCTGAACATTTTTTATAAAAGCATAGAGTTTCAAGGCAGAGAGGCCAAACATCTGTGTTGTTGTTTTAAGAAGAAACTTTAAATAAACTAATTTTAGGTAGTGATTCAAAAACTTTAGTAATTTTTGCTTTTCGTGATTTTGAAGTTATTCTGTCTTGCCTGTCCTCAAGGGAAAATGAAACAGAACGTGAGTACTGCCAAGGGGCTATTTTATTTATCAGGTTCTTTCAATGCCAAGATAAATTTTTAAAGGACTGGTCTATCAACCTGCAGAATTCAAGACACTATGGTACTAACATAAGCATCAACAAATAGATCAGTGGAAAAGAGCACCCAGAAATAGACCCACATTTTTGGGATTTTTTACAAAGACACCAAAGCAATCCAATAGGGAACAAAGTTTTTTCCAGAAGTAGTGCTGGGATGACTGATTATCCATATAGAAAAGAGTGAATCTCACCCACTACCTCACATCAAACACAAGAATTAATTTGAGGTAGAGCATAAACCTAAACATAAAATATAAAACCGTGAAGCTTTGAGGGGAAAGCATGGAATAGTTTCATGACTTAGGAATGGGCAACAGTTTCTTAGGTCACAGAAAGTGATAATCAAAAAAGAAAAAAATGATCATTATACTTCAGAATTTAAACTGATGTTCATCAAAAGACACCATTAAGAAAATGAATACAAAGAACTGGTGTCACGTTTATATAAAGAACTTCTACAACTTAAGAAGATACAAACAAACAATTTTTTAAAATGGACAATTTGAAGAGACCCTTCACAAATCAGATATGTGATAGTCAATAAACATATGAAGAAGTGCTCAATATCATTAGTCACCAGAGAGATGCAAATTAAAACCATTGTGAGATACTGCAGTTGACCCCTGAACAATACAGGGGTTGGAGAACTGACCCTCTCCCCACCTGTGGGACCCCCTCCACCCTGTAGAAAATCTGAGTATAACTTTTTACTCCCCCAAAACTTAACTACCTCCAGTTGTTCCTCGGTATCTGAGGGGGATTGGTTTCAGGATCTCTGTGGATTCCAAATCCGTGGATGCTCAGTCCCTTGTATAAAATGGTGGTAGGTCAAGACATACAGTCAGCCCTCTGCATATGTGGACTCCCAACCACAGACTGAAAACAGTACAGGCATTTATTTATCAAAAAAAAAAATCAGCATATAAGTGGACCACACAGCCCAAACCTGTGTTGTTCAAGGATCAATTGTACTGTATAACCACTAGTATGGCTAAAATTAAAAAGACTGACACATTTTGGCAGGGTGGTAAAGTAACTGGAATTCTCACACTTTATTGTTGAGAATGTAAACTGGCACAGTCACTTCAGAGAAGTCTGAGAGATTCTTATAAAACTAGGTATAGACTATCCTGTGAGCTAACAGTTTCACTCCTGCGCCTTATCAAAAAGAAATGAAAGCCTCTCCAAAACAACTTATACAAAAATATTTGTAAGAGCTTTATTCATAAATAAATAGCCTAAAACTAGAAACAGCCCAGGAGTCCATCACTCAGCAAACAGATTTTTTAAACTGTTGTATATTTATACAGTGTAATGCTGTTAGGCAATAAAAATAAACAAACTAACGATACATGCAACCATTTGGATAAATCTTATAAATATTATTACATTTGTCAAAACTCAGTGGATATACACTTAAGATTTGAATAATGTATATATATTTGTGCAGCAAAACTAAAAGCTATAAACAAATATTGAACTCTAATAAAATGCATGCTAGAGCACTTAGGGGCAAGTATAATTGATGCCTGCAATTTACTTTGCAAAGCACTAAAATTAATATGAATTAATGGATAAATGGATGGATAGATAAATGATAAAGCAAGCATAGTAAAATGTCAGTGGTACAGTCTAGATAGTAAGAATACAGGCATTCAGTGTAAACTTTCAACTTTGATATACGTTTGAAATTTTGAGCATAAAATAAGTAAACAAATAAATACATAATTACAAAAAAAACTCAAGGTATAGGCTAAACATCAGACTAGACACAGTGAAAAAGTCATATAGTGAACTGGAATACACATCTGAAGCAATTACACATAGTGGAGCAGATTGAGACAAGAAGATGGAAACTACAGACGGGAAGTTAAGGTATATGGAGTATGTAATGAGATGATCTAACATGGTACCATCCAGAACACTGTGAAAAGATAAGGAACTTGTGTCAGTGACTTTCAATTCACTGAAAAAGTCTTATTATGGGGTTGGGGGGGGAAGTAAGCTACTAAACAGTGGGCTCAGTGTGATGTCCACTGAATGTGGTCAGTATCTCTAAAGTAACCAGGAACCTACCTTACTAAAGAGGAGAAGCTTCAGAGTCAAGCCTTGAGTATTGTCACAGCTGGAAATTCCAGTCACCAACAATTTATAAAATTTCATTGGTTGCTAGATAAATTCTTACATTGAGCTTCTTAGGCTGAGGACTCTGAATAATATAGGAAACCAGATAGATGTTTTAAAGTATGAGAAACAAAACTTCTCTTCTGGAATCCCAAACTTTTCACATCAGATTGAATTAATCTAGAAGTTTTTAAGGACATTCAGGTACTGCTGATGACCAGTTTGTATGTATGAGGTAGCAGATTTGGGCTTTTGTTAAGTGCTGTGGTCTGAATGTGCCCTCCCAGATTCATACCTGACTCCCAAGGTGATGGTAGGAGGTGGGGCTTTGGGGAGGTGCTTATGTCCTGAAGGCAGAACTCTCATGAATGAGATTAATGCTTTTATAAAAGAGAGCCAACTGAGCTCCCTGGCCCCTTTGACCATGTAAGGATACAGTGAGAAGTCTACAGCCCAAAAGAGAGCCTTCCCCCAACCACGCTGGCACCCTGATCCTGGACTCCCAAACTCTGGAACTGTGAGAAACAGATTTCTGTTTATAAAACACACAGTAGTATTTTGTTATAGCAGCCCAGACAGACTAACATCAAAATTATATTAATCAGTAGAATATATCTTGCTTAATGAGGGCCTATCTTTTACTT